CCCCAGATGAGTAACTCATTTCAGCAAAAAGCGGGTATTTCTTACCAATCCCAAAGTTTCCAGGGAGCTGAGCTGTCTTTGGAAGTCTAGGTTAGGTGTAAGACATAGGGGGTCATAGGGAAGATCAGAGAACACAAAAGCAGAGACCAAGAAGAGCGAAAAAACAACTTAAGAAAATAAACCGTCCGCTGAGAAGGTGAGAGACTTCTTAACTATTCTCTCATCTTTTCTCCCAAGATCTTGGTTGCCAACCCTTTTTTTTTTTCTTTTGTATTTCTAAATCTATTTATTTATTGATTTTTGAATAGATAACACCTTCACTTGATTTTAAAACCAGGAACCAGGAAGTATTATAGCTCATTACACTGAAAATTCTCCCCTTCAATGCTATTCCCTGTCTACTTAGTTTCCTTCTTGTCTTGCCCAGAAACCCAAGTTTCTTTCTTTTACATGTATCTTACTAGTTTTTTTTAGGCATCTTTACAGACAAGTAAATACAAATATAGGTCCATTCTTTCTTTGCCAGTCATTTCTTTCTTTTTTCTTTTTTTTAAACTGCTTGAGGGTGTGTATGCTCACCAGAGAAAGCCAGAGAGAGGAAGAGAGAGAGGGAAAGGAAGAGGGAGAGGGAGAAAGCGTCCTCTAATGGGGCATGGTCACAATACAGTCCCTTTCTCCCCGTCTCCATCCTGTCAGGATCTCGGGTACATCTACACATGCACGCAGGGTGTTTTTCAAGCCACTGGGGCCAGGATTTGAACCATGTGGTCAGCCATGTGGGATGGCTCCCTTAAACTCAAGGTTACGAGGTTGACTGCCCAGAAATGTCTTTATCTGTTTATCTTCTCTTTCATGTACTCTATTTTCTTTTATTCTATTCTCAATCACCCTTTATTGGAGGTTTTTTTTTTAAATGAAAAAGATTAGTAGTTAATTTATTTATGATGATGCTAAATTCACATGCTTGCTTGTCTTTTTCCCACAGATGAGGTGGAAAGTGAGAAATGGTACCTGTCTACAGATTTTCCTTCAACAACCATCAAGACAGAGCCAATTACGGATGAGCCACCACCAGGACTTGTACCCTCTGTCACTTTGACCATCACAGCCATCTCCACCCCTTATGAAAAGGAGGAAGCCCCTGTGGAAGGGAATACAGGGGTATACTCAATTTTCTTTCATAGAAGCAGGCTGCATCAAAAGATATAACTCTCATTCCTTAATAATGCTTTTAATTATTTTAGAGCTAGTGGCTGTTTATATTTAAGGACATATAACTTTATACGTACGTAGGAGGGTCTTCAAGAACTTGGTGGAAAATGCATATTATGAAAAAACTATGCATAGATTTAAATTTTTTGGCACCAATATAAACTCATACTGTAATTCTATTTTTACATGAACTTTTCAAAGTCCCCTTTTATGTATGTATATATCAAGTGTATGTTGATTTGAGTCAGCCCAGATTCTATTACTTCCTTTAAGTTCATTGTTCATAAAAATTGGTAGCAAAGCTTATTTTATTTTTTTCTATTACAGGAAAAAAAAAAAAAAACAGAAACATAAATGAATATCTATGGTTAAAAAAATATTCTCCATGGCTTTGATTTTTAAGCCAGTGGAAAAAGAGTGGTTAAGATGATGCAGTTGCTGACTGTGACAGTGCTCTGGCTGTTAGGAATGCTCATTCCCTGTACTATTTTACTTTCTTCGTGTAATGCTAAGTTGCCCTTACCCAATTCGGGAAGCTTCCACCTATGAGGTTTTATGGTGTTACCTGTGGAAAGCATAAGACGTCAGGAATTTCTTGCTCACTCAATTCCATGCCTACAGCAAGTAGAATTTAATCCTACTCCACTTTCTCTCTGGGTATTTCCAGTGTCCAATGATGGACCACTATCACACTTGTACATCTTACAGATGTTGGACACTCTCTAAGATCAAAACCTCAGGTTATAAACAATGACTCCACTAACATGCCTTAAGTTAGATTTCCGATGAGCACTTTAGAGTGTCTGCCTGTTTAAGAAAAGGTAACCCAGAATCAGGAGAGCCACAGAAGGATTGTTGCATGCTCACTTTTTGGTCTATCCAAGTCGAAGCTGAAGGAGTTGTAGACAACACTTCTGCAGCCCTTTCTCTATAGCTTCCTGAGTATCTTTACTGGACAAGGCTCCTGGGGTCTGTATTAGTCCCCTTGCTCTACAAGATTTCAGTTCAGTAGACTTTCAAGTATCTAATTAAGATAGTTAAGTGTCAGGACCAGCAGTTGGTGTAATGGCTATGTTGCTGGACTCCCATGTAGTCGACCACAGTTCGAGTCCTGGATCCAGTGGCTTAAACTCACGCTGGGCGTGTGTGCGTGCATGCCCAAGATCCCAAGAGGAGAATGGAGGAGAAGGGATTGCGGCGTGGCCATCCCTCCCTGGGGGGGGGGGGGGGCGGTGATTTCTTGCTTTCTGTCTCTCTGGTGAGCACACGTGCCCTATAGCAAAAATCTCTCAAAAAAAAAAATAGATAATTCAGGGTCATAGCCTTGTTCCCCATGCATGGGCTGATAACTCTCCTTTCCCTGCTGAGCACTTCATGGTTAGAAGCCACTGGGAAACCTAAAGAAAAAGAGCATAGCTTAGAGCAGACAGTCCCTACCCCAGGACAAAAGTGAGGGCCTGTGACCCTTTAAATAAAAATTTCCAGAGTAGGGAACAGCATGGCATAATGGTTACATTGCTGGACTATCATGTAGTTGACTGTAGTTCGAATACTGGACTCGACACCTTGAAACTTATGCTGGGCACATGTGCATGCATCCGCAAGATTCTGTGAGGAGAATGGAGGAGAAGGGATTGCGGAGTGGCCATCCCCTCCTGGGGGATGGTTTCTCGCTCTCTGTCTCTCTGGTGAGTGCACGTGCCTGTAGCAAAAATTTCTCTTAAAAAATTTTTTTCCAGAATATTTTGAGATAAGATGTTTTTATATTTTCCCAAAACCAATAGAAAGAAACACTGAGAAGTGATTATTGAGCTTTTCCTTTTGGAGTTCTAAGGGTTCTATCAGTTGTAATGACAGGCCTGGTGATGAGGAGGTTAAGAACTAAAATGATTCCCTGTCAGAGAAGCAGCCTCTACTCCACAGAGCTGCAGAGAGTCAGAGCTGTCCCAAGAAAAGGGCACAGATGATAAATCACTGTTTCTATTTCTGAAATCTGTTATTGGTTTTTCAAAATTATGTTTGAAATTGTTCCTTCAGGTTGATTCCTCGTGCCAGACAATTATTCCTAAGATTAAGCTGGAGCCTCATGAAGTGGATCAGTTCCTCAACTTCTCTCCTAAAGAAGGTCTGTCTGCCCTCCCTGTGTTCCTTCCAGTTACCAGATCACATCACATGGTCTAAGCAGAAAGGGACTGTGCATGGGCGCATTGGGATTATTTGTGCCCCAGGGGTAGCTTGCTTCAGGAAATAGCTCTGTTCTTAGAAACCTTGATTCCAAATAAAGCTTTTAAAAACTGTGATTTTTCTATATATGTAGATTTTTTTAATTGCCAGAGGGCATGCACATTCAGCAGAGACCGAGTTAGAGAGAGAAGGAGAAAGCACCTCACAATGGGGTGTGGCCCATCATCCCTTTTCCTTTCTGTCTCCATCCTGTCAGGATTTTAGGCATGCCTTCACTCACACCCAGTGTGTTTTTCAAGCTACCAGGGCTGGGATTCATAGTTGGCTCTGCGGAATCAGCTTCCTTAACCGCTAGGCTGTGAGGCTGGCCATATATGTGCATTCTTAATTTCTAGCTAAGTCTCTTTGGAATGTTTTATTTTTTTTAAGAATTATTTTATTTAACTTTATTTACTTGTTTATTTATTTGTTTACTTATTTTCATTTCACCAGAGAGGGACAGAGTGAGAGACAGAGACAGGGAAAGTGAGAAAGCAAGCCACCAGGTCCAGGACTCGAACCCTGGTTGACCATGTGGGAGTCCAGTGCCCTTAACCACCATGCTACCTGCTGGTCCCAGAAATACTATTTCTTTGCACTTAGTGCCTTTCAGCTTTATATACAACTTTAAAATAATTCTTTCCATTTTTATGACACCCATTATTACTATCAAATATGTCTTGCCCTTTAATTTATTTTTAAATATGGTTCAGAAAGTGTTATAATTGTCACGATGAATCCCGTAGTGGCTTCAGGGCTGGGGTCACTAGAGGAGAGATGTTTCAAGAGTAAAGTAAGTGGCAGTGTTTCTTCATTATCCTGCAGAGAGAGATAAGGAAATTCAATATCCTTGAATGCATCAGAGCTTCCAGGCAAAGTACCTTGCTGTCCCTGGCACATTTAGTAACCCAAGAGCAGCATCTCAAATGATATTTAGAAATATGATGCTGCGGCACCTGTGGCCAGGTCGTAGCTCTCAATGGGGAGGGAAGATGAGATCCAGGTTTGCTTGGCTCACTTTTTCTATCATCTCATTTCTGTGTTTTGTGAGTTGCCCTCTGCTTGGAAAGAACAGTATTATAATAATTTGGCCTGTGCCAAGTGAAAGGACAGGGAGCTCTAGGTACTCATGCTTAGTTCTTAGGGATGTGAGAACAGAGCAGGGCAGACAACTGGAGCCTCCAACAGCTTAGTCTGTGTTCTGAATTTTGTTTGCAGTTGTTCTTATTATTAAGTGGCCATAGTACTAATGGCACCAGGAAGACCTCGGTTAATGCTTTTAGGACTCTTGTTGTCTAGCCAAGCACAGCCATGTTTACGGTTCATGTTAAGGGTAACCTTAGCTGCCTGAAGCTATTGGCAGGAGTGTTCAGAATAGAGTATTTTATATTTATATATATAAACACACACACACACACACACACACACACACACACACACACACACATACTGTAGATTTAAGAAGGCCTATGTGGCTATGTGAGTTCGTCCCATAGCCCAAGAATTAAGCCTCATATCCCAGCACTCGCAGCTTGAAAAATGTGCAAGGCGTATGTGCATGTATACCCCAAATCTGACATGATGGAGAAATGGAGGAGATGTATTGTGGCGTTTCTGCACCCCATTGGGTATGCTTTCTCTGTCTCTCTGTCTGTCTCTCTCTCTGGTAAGTGCAAACAACCTCTGACAATTGATAATAACTCCTAACTAATAATAATAATAATAAGAAGAATGCTTACAGACACTAAGAACTCCAGGGTACTCTTTGGCAAGACTTGGCAGAGAAAAGGGGAAAGAAGAGGCATCTAGAGAAAAGTAATATGTTGGGAAAAGAGAAACGCAATGGCTACATAGAAAGAATAATAAGAGAGAGAGAGATGGGGGACAGGGGCATGGTGGCTTGGAGGGAAGTCACCTGTTGTTCCCTTGGATATTCAGGTACTCCAGGAGGAGGGGGGGCTGCCTGGTTGCTGCTTGTTATCTATACAAGGGCCCTTTTCCTTATGTAGTAGTTGTGTCTCAGAAGGGCCCTTCAATCAATAGCACCTTGGGCCTTGCCATGAGAAGGGAGGAAGAGGAGATAAGTGCTGAGGCCTCACTGTGGCTCCAGCCGTTCTCTGGTTGAGCAAACCCAGATGTGTGTAAAGCCCTGAGGCACCATGCCCAGTTCTGAGTGGCTTTACCAAGGGTTCTATTGTCCTGGGGCCTTGGGAGGGATTTAGAGTGCAGGAAGGGCTTACCCGAGGTTATCTCCCTTGGCTCAGTAACAATGTCTGGTGCAACAGAAATCGCTGCTGTTCAAAAAAAGGAGGAGCGAGTCTTGAGAGTGCTTTTGCTCAGGTGGAACTCACCCTGGACTCTTCCCTCAGAAGCCCGTCCCTGCTGCCTGCTGCGCTGGCGATGCCTGGTGGACTCTAACGCTTTTATGTCCTGGTGAAGCAGGTGCCGACTATCCCTGAGGAAAGGCAGGATGAGCTTCCACATGCCGAGGCCTTGGGAGGAGAGAGCTCCGCACTCATTTGGAAACTAAGGGCCTACTCATCTAGCAAAAGATGGATTTAGTGTTTTTTGAATGCCTGGCCTCTCCGTCTAGGGGCTCTAGCATGCACATTCCTCCAGAAACAAATGAACCTTTGTTTTCTTTTTCTTTTTTTTAAAAGTTTTTCTGTAGGGCACATGTGCTTACTGGAGAGAGACAGAAAGAAAAAGAGAAACTGAGAAATCATCCCCTGAGGGGATGGCCAGGCCACAGTCTCCATTCTCCTCTTAGAATATTGGGTATTGGGTGCACACACCTGCCTGCTGTGGTTTTCAAGTCATGAGGTCAGGGACTTGAACTGTTCACTCAGCCACGTGGCGTCCAACACCCTGACACCCTAATCACCACGCCACACCACCTTCTGGCCTACAGTGAGCCTTTGTTTGTTTCCATCTTTTATTTATTTATTTATTTATTTATTTTCATTTTTTTGCCATAAGATGTATGTGCTTGCTGGAGAGAGAGAGTGAGAGGGAAAATGAGAAATCACCCCCAAGAGGGATGGCCATGTCATGGTCCCTTCTCCTTCATTCTTTTCCTGGGACTTTGGGCATGCATGCACATGTACCTGGTGCGATTTTTAAGCCTCAGGTTCAGGATTCAAACTGCATTGACCAGTGCCTTAACCACTATGCTACCTGCTGGCCCTCCCCACCCCCCCCCC